ACCTTCTGTGAAAGTTTCAAGAGGGCATCAGTTGGTTAACTTTGCAAAAACAAATTTAAATCTTTACTTTGTTCTTGAAAGTTATCATTTATTTAAAGTAATTATTTTTTGTAAACATGATTTGGTAAAGGATAAAAATTTCCAAATTTTACCCAAGTACATTGGGTCACCATGTAGCAGCAGTAGGCTACCTATCAGGAATAACTGTGGTTAAGAAATGTGATTGATTTTTTTTTTAAGGTATGGGAAAGAATGTCAGTGGTGTATACCAGGTCCTTCTTCTGTCACTTTAAAATTTTAATAACAGTTTTCTAACCACCTTCTCTCTATGGAACACATAGATCCAGATGATTGAAAAATTCATTTTCTTTCCTACTAGAGAAGTGAGTAAAGGATATGAACAAACAGGAAGAAATTTGAAGAGCCATTCAACAACTACAAAGATGCTCAATCCTGTGAATGATCAGGGATGTGCACACTTAAACAGGAGAGATATAACATTTCACCCCAATCAGATAGGTATAAATTTAGAAGCTTAAAATTACTCAGTGATGCTGATAATGTGCCACAGCTTTCAAACACTGCTGATGGGCATTGCTGTCAGCACAGTGTCTCTACAGAGCCATCTCACAATTGCCAGTGTAGTTGAGAATGGACTGTCCAAGAATCCACTGGGTAGTGTCTACCACTGAGGAATCAGCATGTACGTGCCCAGTGAAACAAGTGCAGTACATACATGTTACAGTAGTGTTGTAATGTGAAAATTTACAAAATTCTTAAGTGTCTACCAATATTGAAGCAGATAAGTAAAAAGTGATATAGTCAGACTCTGGAATACTTCATTGCAATGAAAATTAATGAGTTACAGCTGCTGTGTCCTTGCAAAATAGTACATTTGTATGTGTGCAATTAAAAAAAAATGAAAACAGATGATAATGAAATGTCAAATTCGGGAGACAATTGCCTCTAAGGAGAACAGGCACAGGAAGAAAAATACAGGACATTTCAACTGTGCCATTAAAAAAAAAAAAAAAATCTAAAAAAAATTTGCATCAAGTTAAAATTTGACAAAAGGCGATGGGTACATCTACTTGTTATTTTTTTTCCCTACCTTTCTGTGCCTTTAAATATTTCATAATAAATAGTCATTATCTCTAATTCTTAAAATATTTCTCAAAGAATTTTTCCATTTTTGGATGATTAAACTGGGAATGGGGGAGTCAGCTTGTCCAAAGTAACAAAGTAATTAAATAGTTGAGATGAGATCAAAAACAAGTATGTCTTGTTCCAAAACTCATTGCCCTTCTTTCTCATTAATCTGATTCTACAACGTAGAGAGGAAATGTAAGCTTGAACCTATGAACCTGCAGTCACCTTTGACCTATCTCTTACTATTCCCTCTCTTTTCCACCCTCCCTGGCACGCACATGTCTGTGCGCACATGTACACCTGCACGTACCATCCCTTTCTGAAAGATCATGTGTTCCTCATAGTCAGGCCCAGGCCAAGGCAGCTGGCGTCCAGTGAGCAAGTAGGTCCACTAGGTCCTCTCTGTCTGTGGTAGGAGAGTTCTTCCATGTTCATCCGGGATTATGGGCATAGGGGGATGTTCTAAAATACAATTTGCTAAAATGGTGACTTATAGTTATCTTTTCCTAAATGTGTTCCTTCTAGCTTGGCTCCTGTTAGAAATGACTACATGGGCTGGGCACAGTGGCTCACACCTGTAAGCCCAGCACTTTGGGAGGCCGAGGTGGGAGGATGGCTTGAACTCAGGAATTTGAGACCAGCCTGGGCAACAAAATGAGACCTTGTCTCTACTAAAAAATTTAAAAAATTAGCCAGCCATGGTGGCACACATCTGTAGTCTCAGCTACTTGAGAGACTGAGGTGGGAGCATCACTCAATCCCAGGAGAGTCGAGGCTGCAGTGAGCAGTGTTCATGCCACCACACTTCAGCCTGTGCATCAGAGTGAGATCCTATCTCAAAAAAATAAAAAACAAACCAAGTAAATAAATAATTTAAAAATGACTACACAAAGGATCCACGATTTGCTCTGTGGGTTAAGACAGTATTTGTCTTTTTGGTTGTCTGCAGAAGACATTTTTTGTGTTCCACATTGTCTTTTATATAGAAATCCTCTTAGAAACCAAGAAAAAGGTTTTACTAGAAAAATAAATACAAATTTTAAAATACTAAATTTGAAACCAAAAGACATATAAACTATAGGGGCTAAAAAGAATAGCTAACATTTACTAAATGTTTAATATGTTAGCATTTATTACTCCATCTCCAATTTGAAGATGAGGAAACAAAGGTATAGGGAAGTTAAATAATTCCCTGAGGTAGCCCACTAGTAGGGAGTAGGGCTGAGACCACGACAGTGTTCAAGTCAAACACCACCTTTATTGGGAAAGACCTTCTAGGCTGCTACCTCTCCAAGTGATCTCCATTTCTACATCTGCTACATGCAGGGTGCATTTGGAATTGTCCATAACTTACTTTGTATGTTTAGTTTTTCCTTTAGTTTTTAAATTGGGTATAAGGATGCAGGAATATGAATGGACTTAAATTTTTTTATACTACTGTAGCAGCTAACATAGCATGTGAGTAGTTGGCATTCAGTATATTCCTAGATATTAGCTAGGAATTTTTGTTCTCCCAGCTAATTTTTGTGTTTTTAATAGAGATGGGATTTCACCATGTTAGCCAGCCTGCTTTCAAACTCCTGGCCTCAAGTGATCTGCCTGCTTCAGCCTCCAAAGTGCTGGATTATACTCACCCAACCAGAAACAGACCGTTTCTGACACTTAACTTTTCTCTTTCCCTGTACCCCTCCTGGCTTTGTTGCCCTTCTTATGTGTTCTCCTTGGAGTCCAAGCAGTAACTCCACGGCACCATTCCTACCACAGTGTTTTATAACTATCTGGGTTTGGCCTCCCCCATCCTTACAAGCAGCATGAATCCTCTTTATCGTTGCATGTGAGTCCCCATCCCAAGCCACCTGTGGTTGGTTATTTGTTGACTTATTTCTAGGATGTTGGTTCTCAGCGGGGGGTGATTTTGTCCCCAGAGGACATTTGGCAACTCCTGGAGACCTTTTTTAACTGGTGAGGCGGTGCTCCTGTCATCTAGTGGGTAGAGGCCAGGGGTGCTGCCAGGCACTCCATCGTGTACACTATGGCCCAGCTCATGGTCCAGCCCCAAATGGCGAGAGTACCAAGGTTAAGAGACAATGCTTTAGGACAAAGGGCAAAACTTTAGGGCACTTAAGACTTCTTATAACAGAAAAAATGAAATTATTTAAATATGGGGTTCTTAAGTAATGTGTAAAGGATTTAGTGTCAAAGAGCTTCATTCTGAATCTGAACTGCTCTGGATCTTTTGGTGACCCATTTTTAATGTTTATTCAGAAGCTCTCATGTGAGGCACACCTGTGTCCCAGTGATTACTAATGGATTAACAGGTACTTGGAGTGAGTTAGGCACAAAACTGAAATGGTGAGGACAGTAGAACTAAGCTCTGCATTTATTTTAGAAATTTAGGCATTTACTTTTTCTTATTTACAGTGCATCTGATAGAAGGTGACTACTCAAGCAGTTTTTTTGACGAGGTATGGAGATGGATGGTTCTTTTTTTTGACTCTTAGAAAGAATTTGGCTGGGTGTGGTGATTCATGCCTGTTAGCACTTTGGGAGGCTGAAGTAGGTGGAACACTTGAGGTCAGGAGTTTGAGACCAGCCCTGGCTAACATGGTAAAACCCCGTCCCTACTAAATATACAAAAATTAGCTGGTGGGCATGGTGGTGGGTGCTTGTAATCCCAGCTACTTGGGAGGCTGAGACAGGAGAATCGCTTGAACTGGGGAAGCAGAGGTAGCAGTGAGCTGAGATCACACCACTGCACTATAGCCTGGGTGACAGAGTAAGACTCAATCTCAAAAAAAAAAAAAAAAAAAAAAAAAAAAAAAAAAAAAAAAAAAAAAAAAAAAAAAAAAAAAAGAAAAAGAAAAAAAGTAATCCTCAGAAAAAAAGGCCTTTCACTTTATGTAGATTAGTTAATGAAGTAAATTCTAGTACCACCCCCAATATTTAGGTAGTAAATAGACTGCTAGTGCATCCTAACTGGAAGTTAAGAAATTAAAGGATGAATTGTTGCTAACACAGAATGACATGGGATTGACCTATACAATCAAGTATAGGAAAATAAGATCTTCTTGTGCTTTAAGGTTTTAGCATGTGTCTCAGTAAAGACAGAAAACGTCAAAAAAGTTTTGATTCTTTCCTCCAGAATTGGCCATATGATATGTTTTTTTTTTTTCTTTTTTGTAGGCCATATGATATGAATTCTTGTTTTATAATCCAGTTTTCAAAAAATTATTTTGGAAGTTTAGAAATCTCAGTCAGAGAAAGAAGAAACACTTTAGGAAATGTTAGGAAAAGGAGACAGTGACTCATATTCTTAAATAGTTCCTGTTGATATTTGCAATTTCAAACTAGTCTCTGGAAAATATGATATAATTTTACTGAGAGAGTCAAGTCTTTATCTTTATTCTTGGGGATTCCTTTGGCAAATTAAATGATTTACACCTGAAGAGGCAATTTAGCTTCATGTTAAATTTCAAAGTCCAAGAAATACTTTCTTTCCAGTAGTTGTCAGATTCGTAGTGACGATCATCAGCCTTTCAGATGAGTGTTACTAGTTCAGTTTTGGAGATTGTGCTGTCTTGTAGTTTGCTGAAAGAAGATTGAAATATTTGTACTTACTTTTGTGGGTTCTATGAGATAAAGTCTGACTTACAGTTGATTTAACCTCTTCTTGTCTTTGTCTTGGTTACTTTGGGATTTTGTCAGAACAGAGGTTTAAGCTGCAGATACTGTATTCAAAAAGCTCCTTCAAGAAATGTAACTGTAAGGGAATGAAATGATATAAATAAATGTGGACTTGAATAAAATACTTGTTGTATTTAAAAATATGCCTTTCTCTTAATTTTTTTCAGCCAAGTTCTATAGAAATTTTAGAGTATTCATCAGATAGTGAAAAAGAAGATGACTTGGAAAATGTCCTACACATTGATTCAGAATCCCCTCACAAATACCATGTGGAGTTTGCATCAGACGCAAGACAGATTATGGAGGGACTGATAGACCCAAGAACAAAGTCAACAGAGACCATCTTGCATACACCCCAGAAACCCACAACTAAGTTTCCCAGGACTCCAGAAAATTCAGCAAAGAAGAAGCTTTTAAGGTTAAATTATACCTTTTTTAAATACTCTTTTTTTCTTCTCTTTCTTTAAAAACTGAAGTATCTAAAATGTTAATTTTAAGATACTTACATACGAAATCCTAAGTTCTGGAGCTGATTAATGGAACGTTCATCCAATTTGAGGGTCATGGGTTCAGTCATGGCCAGCAGATGTGACTGCATTTTTTAATGGAGATTTATTGTTTGGCTTAACAAATTTTATTGAGAGTCAGTGTTCTAGGTACCTTGGAGACAAGTGAATAATTGTTCCAATCTTGAGTAACTTACAATCTAAAAAGGGTAATGGAAATATGTATAGATCATGTCAGACTACTTTTATGAGAGAGATCTGCCAGGACAACACTTGCAAGTGCAAAAAAGTGTGAGAGAGCAGAGACCCACAGACAAGATGTGTCTGGTGTGCCATGAACTAGAGTGTCATTCAGGGGCTGGGCTGTGGCCATGGTGAGCAAATCAGGAAAGATATGTGAAGGAGCCTGTAGGGACCCTCCCCAACCCTGTGTGATACAAGGTCTCTTTGTTGTTTAAATCAAAAGTATTAGTAACAAAAGCCAAAATAGACAAGTGGGACCTAATCAAACTCCACAGCTTCTGTCCAGCAAAAGAAACAATCATTAGAGTGAACTGGCAGCCAACAGAATGGGAAAACATTTTTGCAATCTACCCATCTGACAAAGGGCTAATATTCAGAATCTACAAAGAACTAAAACAGATTTACAAGAAATAAAAAACAAACCCATTCAAAAGCGGGTGAAGGATATGAACAGATACATTTCAAAAGAAGACATATATGAGGCTAACAAACATGGAAAAATGCTCATCGCCACCTGTCATTAGAGAAATGCAAATCAAAACCACATTGAGATACCATCTCACGCCAGTTAGAATGTCAATCATTAAAAAATCTGGAGACAACAGATGCTGGAGAGGATGTGGAGAAATAGGAACACTTTTGCAGTGTTGGTGGGAGTGTAAATTAGTTCAACCATTGTGGAAGACAGTGAGGTGATTCCTCAAGGATCTAGAAACAGAAATACCATTTGACCCAGCAATCCCATTACTGGGTATATACCCGAAGGATTATAAATTGTTTTATTATAAAGACATATGTACATGTACGTTCATTGTGGCACTGTTTACAATAGCAAAGACCTGGAACCAACCCAAATGCCCATCGATGATAGACTGGACAAGGAAATTGTGGCACATATACACCACGGAATACTGTGCAGCCATAAAAAATGATGAGTTCGTGTCCTTTGTAGGGACATGCATGAATCTGAAAACCATCATTCCCAGCAAACTGACACAAGAACAGAAAATCAAACACCACATGTTCTCACTCATAGGCGGGTGTTTAACAGTGAGAACTTATGGACACAGGGAGGGAAGCATCACACACTGGGGTCTGTTGGTGGGGACTAGGGGAGGCACAGTGGGGGGTAGGGAGGTTGGGGTGGGATAATATGGGGAGAAATGCCAGATATAGGTGACGGGGGGATGTAGGCAGCAAACCATATTGTCATGTATGTACCTATGCAACAATCCTGCATGATCTGCATATGTACCCGAGAACCTAAAGTACAATAAAAAATATATACATATTAAAAAACCCAAACAATGCCAAGCAAAGACCCAGTGAAAATAAGAAAGAGAACCTGTAGGAAGCATTGCCACAAATGCAAAAGTAGTAGAGCATTTCAAGGCAAAGGAGTTTCAGTAGAAAGAGTAAATGTGATCATGAAGAGTGTAGGTGTTGGATCCACGGATTATATTGTCACATCATGAGAAGACAAGCAGAGCCTGTGGCTGAAGTAGCACATGGTTCAGGGAGTGAGGATGGAGCTGTGGCTCCTGTGTGGGAGCTGGGGACCAGGCAGGAGGGCTTTGATTCTTCTCTTTGGGATTGCCAATCACATGGAAAAGATCGAGACTCTAGAAAGGGTGCAGGGAATAGGAGAGACATTTTGAAAACAGCAGGGGTCCCAGTAGACTGAGAGCTTGCACCATGGTTCTGTCAGCATCCTGGAGAGGAGGTAGGCAAGGAAGGTGGAGAAGGGAGCCCCAGCTTGAGGACACTAGTGGAAGAAAGAGCATGAGGATATGGCCAAGTCTGGTGGGATGGCCAGGACACAGAGATCCATTCGTGCCTACTCACCGTAAGACAGAAGGCTTTATGCCCAAAGTGACAAAGTTGTTGCCTCAAAAGAGAATGTAATTTGTAATAGTAATAGGATGTAATTTGTAATAGAATGTGATTTGCAATCGTCTCTGGGGAGAAAGGAAAAGGAAGCCCATTAAAGGGATTACCATGTCTTTGTTGATGAAGGTGATGTCATGCAATTACAGAAAGTCATGTCCCCAGCCTTGCTGAGGGCCTGCCACTTGCCAAGCACTGTTCATGCACAGGAGCAAGCAAAGTGAAATGGTTGCTCATAACAGAGAGCACAGGTTATTGGAGCCCCACCTGTGTCAAGGGGAGGCTAAAAAGGAGCTTCGAAGTCAGCTCCTTTAGATGTCAAGTCAGAGGAGAGAAACTTTATGAAGAAAAAGCAGACTAGAAATGAGTTGTAATATTTTTGAATCTTTATCCTTCTCTACTTCTCCATGTTGATTTTATAGAAATGTTTACTAGTGTTGAATTGATACCAGTAATCTTTGGAGATAGGTTACAAATCTGTTAATTTTATAGAAAAGATAATTAGGATATCTTAACTTGCTCAGTGAATTCATCATATTTTTGTTCCATTGGAGTTTTGGCTTTTATAAATAACTTGTCTGGCTACGTTCAAAAGAGTTAATTTGGATATAGATGGCAGGGCCTTCCTGAACTTTTGGTATGACTTGATTTTTTTTTAACATTGAATAGGCTTTTACTAGAAGTAAGATTGTTGATTACAGGATATGGTGTTTCTGTTCTTAAGTTCAAGTGCATGTAACCCGAATACCCTGCAGGACAGGCCCTAATGGCCAAACTCAGCTGGAGACACAGTTTGTTTGTTTTTTTTCCTCCTCCTCTGTGTTTTTATTTTTTTATTTTTTTTTATTATTATACTTTAAGTTCTGGGGTACATGTACAGATCTTGCAGGATTGTTACATAGGTGGTTTGCTGCCTCCATCCCCCCATCACCTACATTAGGTATTTCTCCTAATGTTATCCCTCCCTAATCCCCCCACCCCCTGCTATCCATCCCCTAGCACCCCACCCCCCAACAGACCCCAGTCTGTGACGTTCCCCTCCCTTTGTCTGTATGTTCTCATTGTTCAACACCCACTTATGAGTAAGAACATGTGGTGTTTGGTTTTCTGTTCTTATGTCAGTTTGCTAAGAATGACGGTTTCCCGATTCATGCATGTCCCTGCAAAGGACACGAACTCATCCTTTTTTATGGCTGCATAGTATTCCGTGGTGTATATGTGTCGCATTTTCCTTGTCCAGTCTATCATCGATGGGCATTTGGGTTGGTTCCAGGTCTTTGCTATTGTAAACAGTGCCACAATGAACGTACATGTACATATGTCTTTATAATAAAACAATTTATAATCCTTCGGGTATATACCCAGTAATGGGATTGCTGGGTCAAATGGTATTTCTGTTTCTAGATCCTTGAGGAATCACCTCACTGTCTTCCACAATGGTTGAACTAATTTACACTCCCACCAACAGTGTAAAAGTGTTCCTATTTCTCCACATCCTCTCCAGCATCTGTTGTCTCCAGATTTTTTAGTGATCGCCATTCCAACTAGCATGAGATGCTATCTCAGTGTGGGTTGATTTGCATTTCCCTAATGACTAGTGATGATGAGCCTTTTTTCTTAATGTCGGTTGGCCGCATAAATGTCTTCTTTTGAAAAGTGTCTGTTTATATCCTTCACCCACTTTTGAATGGGTTTGTTTGTTTGTTTCTTGCAAATCTGCTTTAGTTCTTTGTACATTCTGGATATTAGCCTTTTTGTCAGATGGGTAGATTACAAAAATTTTTTCCCATTCTGTTGGTTGCCAGTTCGCTGTAATGATTGTTCTTTTGCTGTGCAGAAGCTCTTATGTATAATTAGATCCCATTTGTCTATTTTGGCTTTTGTTGCCATTGCTTTTGGTGTTTTAGTCATGAAGTCCTTCCCTATGCCTATGTGCTGAATGATTTTGCCTAGGTTTTCTTCTAGGGTTTTTATGTTGTTAGGTCTTATGTTTAAATCTTTAATCCATCTGGAGTTAATTTTAGTGTAAAGTATAAGGAAGGGGTCCAGTTTCAGCTTTCTGCATATAGCTAGCCAGTTTTCCCAACACTATTTATTAAACAGGAAATCTTTTCCGCATTGCCTGTTTTTGTCAGGTTTTTCAAAGATCAGATGGTTTTAGACATGTGGTGATACTCGGAGGCCTCTGTTCTGTTCCTTTGGTCTATATCTCTGATACTGTAGCCTTGTAGTATAGTTTGAAGTCAGGTAGCATGATGCCTCCAGCTTTGTTCTTTTTATTTAAGATTGTCTTTGGCGAAGAAAATCACTGCCTTTGGTGAAGGGATGGTGGTTTGTGGTGATTAAAAATAACTTTGGGCAGTATGGCCATTTTCACGATATTGATGCTTACTAACCATGAGCATGGAATGTTTTTCCATCTGTTTGTGTCCTCTCTTATTTCATTGAACAGTGGTTTGTAGTTCTCCTTGAAGAGGTCTTTCACGTCTTTTGTTAGTTGTATTCCTGGGTATTTTATTCTCTTTGTAGCAATTGTGAATGGGAGTTAGCTCATGATTTGGCTCTCTGTTTGTCCGTTTTTGGTGTATACGAATGCATGTGATATTTGCACATTGATTTTGTATCTGGAGACTTTGCTGAAGTTGCTTACCATCTTAAGAAGATTTGGGGCTGAGACTTGGGGTCTTCTAAATATAGTCATGTCATCTGCAAATAGAGACAATTTGAATCCCTCTTTTCCTAATTGAATACCTTTTATTTCTTTTTCTTACCTGATTGCTCTAAAACTTTTAATACTATGTTGAATAGGAATGATGAGAGACGGCACCCTTGTCAAGTGCTAGTTTTCAAAGGGAATGCTTCCAGTTTTTGCCCATTCAGTATGATATTGGCTGTAGATTTGTCATAAATAGCTTTTATTATTTTGAGATATGTTCCATCAATACCTAGTTTATTGAGAGTTTTTAGCATAAAGGACTTGAATTTTGTCAAAGGCCTTCTCTGCATCTATTGAGATAATCATATGGTGTTGTCTTTGGTTCTGTTTATGTGGTGGATTACGTTTAAAGATTTGTGTATGTTGAACCAGCCTTGCATCCCTGGGATGAAGCCTGCTTGATTGTGATGGATAAGCTTTTTAATGTGCTGTTGGATTCGGTTTGACAGTATTTTATTGAAGATTTTTGCATCGATGTTCATCATGAATATTGGCTTGATATTTTCTTTTTTAGTTGTGTCTCTGCCAGGTTTTAGTATTAGGATAACGTTGGTCTCATAAAATGACTTAGGGAATATTCTCTCTTTTTGTGTTGTTTGGAATAGTTTCAGAAGGAATGGTACCAGTGGAGACACAGTTTTTATCTGAGGGCTCCAGATACTGCCATGTGTAGAGAACTCCTTTGCATATGTTTACTGTTGCTTTTACTTTTCGTCCTGTACTCCCTACAGATTTCTTGCAGGGTTCTAGGCTTTACTTTAACCAGATACTATTTTCAGAGTTCATTTTCCCTTTTTTTTTTTCCCTGTAAGGTCACAGCATTGAAAAGCAATATTGGGGGAATAATTATCTACATAACTGGACAAAGAATACAGCATTTGCTTCTTGTATTTATTATGCATATCATTTGAAATAGTACTGTTTAAGAGGTGATAGATATATTATCAAGACTAAGAGCTTGGACTCTGGAGCTGGACTGCCTGGGCGTGCATCCAGCTATGCCACTCATTAGACATCCCATCTTGCACAGATGTTTAACATCTTGGTGCCTCAGTTTGTAATCTATAAAGTGGAATCATAATAGTACCTATTTTACAGTATTGTGTAAAGGGGAAGCATAAATGAGTTACTTCATGTAAATAGAATTATGTGAGGAAGGCTTAATAGTAAGTAGAGATTGACAAGTAGAGGTGCTATGGCATATTTCTGAGTATAAGAGGTTTTTAAATTTTTTCTGTTATGTATACTATAAACAAATACATTCAGAAATAATACCTGTAGGAAAAAATACTAGGTTTTTCTATAGGTATTAATACTAACAATATTATATATTTATTAAAATATTACCATCATAGTGGAAAGAGCTATATAGGGTACAAGTAAAATACATAACAAAAACAGTTGCACCAATCATGGGCATTTTTTGAAGGTTTACTAAATGCCACATGCTGTGCTAAGTCCATTCTGGTTTTAATAGCCAGTTCCTCATCTGGCTAGTTATGTAATATTGGAGAAGTTCCTTAATCTCTCTCTAAATTCTGGTTTTATCATCTGTCCAGTGGGTATTGATATCTGTTCTTTCTACTTCAAAATTATGTTATTTGAATAAATATAATGTAGTGAAATATTAATGAATTGATAATAAGATAAACTTAAGAGATAATACATTGATAATCTATATAGCATGTAGCTATAGTGTTAACAACTGGTCTTGATTTTTCTTGAAATTATAGCTATGTTAGGAGTTGATAACTTCTCTTTCTCTCTACATATGTATGTATTTATTTACTTACATTTATAATTTACCTATAATTACATACTTATAAGCATAAATATATCTCAGTGAGTATGTATGTTCATTGATAGGTTAATGTTCTTCTGCAGTACCTGTATGTCTGTCATTATTAATTGTCTTTCTATTATACATGGAAGTTTTCTTTTTTATAACATTGGTATCCTTGCTGTGTGTTTGTGATTGATACTCAAATATCTCTAGAGTCCAAATAAGGGACTCATACCCAAGTGCTCTTATTTGAGTGTTCTGTCAGCAGTTGGCAAGATTGTTATTGACTGGAACTCTGAGCCCACTTTATATTTCTCCATTTGCACCAATCTGCTGAGCTCATTGGGAGCTCTTCCACCTCCACAGCAGCACTCATAGCTGTCCTTGTGTCCCTGTTACCTAACAAAGTGCTAGGTGCCAGCATATAACAAGTGGTAAGTAAGTAGTACTTTTAGGATTGAATAAAATGAACTAAGAAAGAATAGAAAAGGAGGTAAGCTGATATTTAGCTGTCATATATCCAACAATATAATATTTTTAGGACATAATATTAGCCCATATTTCTAAGAATCAGAAAACCAAGCTTCTAAGAAAACAAAAACTGACTTACGAGGATATGGCCTCTAGGAAGAGAATGTGGTAACAAATATACTTTAAAATTTTGCATGTTTTATCTGTCTCTGGTTGGGGGTATACAATATAACTGTTTGAGTGATTCAGAAGTTTTCCTTTTAACTAAACTTAATACATTATAATTCATTAAACAGAGGTGGACTAGCAGAAAGATTAAATGGACTGCAGAATCGAGAGAGATCTTCCATTTCTTTGTGGCGACATCAATGTATTTCTTACCAAAAGACACTTTCAGGTAAGGCTTGTACAGGCACCTGAGACAATGTATAAAAACAATTTTAGTTAAAAGAATTTTTTTCTTCACTTTATTAATATTTCTTCTTTTAAATTATACTTTAAGTTCTGTTGTACATGTGTGGAACGTGCAGTTTTGTTACCTGGTTATACATATGCCAGGAATTTTTCCATTAAAATATATGAAGTTGATTATTACTGTTTTCATGACTTTAAAAACAATGTTTGTTTTTCCAACATTCTAATTTTGACATACAAAACTGATACATAATTAATATCTACAACTTGATGAGTTTAAAGATAAGTATACCCTTGTGAAACCATCACCACAATCTGTGCTGTAAATCTACCCTTCACCTCCAAAAGTTTTGATCTGTTCTTATCATTAAGAGCACTCTACCCTCTTAGCAAAATTTATTTTATTTTATTTCATTATTTAGAGACAGGTTCTTACTGTGTTGCCCATGCTGGAATGTAGTGACATAATCATAGTGTACTCTAGCCTCAAACTCTTGGGCTCAAGCAAATCCTCTCACTCCAGCCTCCTGAGTGGCTAAGACCACAGGCTTGTGACACCATGCCCAGCTCCTCTTAGCAAAATTTTAAGTATACAATATAGTATGTTAACTATAGGCAGGATACTGTTCAGCAGATCTCTAGAACTTATTTATCTTATATAATCAAAACTTTGTACCCTTTGATAAATACCTGCCTCCCTGTTGGCAGCCACTGTTGCAGGTTCTGCTTCTGTAGTCAGAGCATGTAGTCAAGCAAAAGAAATAAAAGATATCCAAGTTGGAAAGCAAGAGGTAAAGTTATCTCTGTTTGCAGATGACATGATCTAATATCTAGAAAACCCTATAAGACACCCTGCCCCTGCCAAAAAAGGTTAGAACTAGTAAGTGAATTCAGCATAGCCACAGGATTAAAAATCAGCATACAAAAATCAATTGCGTTTCTATATATTAACAATGAAATTTCTGTATATTAACTATGAAAGATTTTCTATTGGAAAATTAAGAAAGCAGTCTCATTTACAATAACATCAAAAAGCATGAAATACTCGAATAAACTTAATCATGGATGTTAAGGACTTGTACTCTGAAAACTGATTGTTTTATTCAGGTGTCATATAGGTCTCAGAAATTATTCCAGGAGATGAGTCTATTCTTCCAAGGTCTAATCACTGAAAACTCTTGTTTCTTAACAAATTTTTTGATATTGAAAAGATTCCACATGCCTAGAAAAGCCTTCTCTCCTCCTAAACAGTGCTGATTTAGTGGGTTTTTTTCTGTGTGTTTCCTCCATCTGGATTGCGGGGATGGGTGGGTAGGCACAGTCACGTATTCCAAAGTAACGATTATTAGTCTTTCATGGGGTGATCATTGAGATATACATTTTATTATGCTTCCAGGTGATTTTTGCACATGCTGGAATTTAAGAAACATTATTCTTAGAGTTAATCCCTCCATTCCCAATAATATATTCTACTAAATAGAATAATACATTCTACTAAATAGATCACTCAACTGTTATGTTCTCAACTATTATATTACACATTTCTTTAGAAGACTTTTCAATTCTCACCTCATTTATTCTTTCTAAAATCCTTTCTGAGGCCAGGTGCGGTGGCTCACGCCTGTATTCCCCATGCTTTGGGAGGCCAAGGAAGAAGAATCACTTGAGGCTAAGAGTTCAAGACCAACTTGGGCAATGTAGTGAAACTCATTCTCTACAAAAAAAAAAAAAAAAAAATTAAAAATCAACTGTACAGTGGTGGCACACATCTACAGTCCTAACTACTCAAGAGGCCGAGGTGGGAGACTTGCTTTAGCCTAGGAGTTCTAGGTTACAGTGAGCTATGGTTGCACCTCTACACACCAGCCTTTGTGATAGAGCAAAACCCTGTCTCGAAAAAAATATATAAAATCCTTTCCCAGCTGTCACTTAGCAATTGTCTTCTCTCACATTCTTGTATTAAAGCACTGTAATATGAAATACATATATATGTGTCAGGATGACCTAATACATATGACCCAAGAATACTTTTTTTTGAGACAGAGTCTCACTCTTTTGCCGAGGCTTGAGTTTGGTGGCACGATCCTGGCTTACTACAACCTCCATATCCTGGGTTCAAGCGATTCTCCTCCTCAGTCCACCGAGTAACTGGAACTACAGGCACCAGCCGCCTCTGGCTAATTTTTGTATTTTTAGTTGAGATGGGGTTTCACCATGTTGGCCAGGTTAGTCCCAAACTCCTGACCTCAGGTGATCTGCCTGCCTGGGCCTCCCAAAGTGTTGGGATTACAAGCGTGAGCCACTGTACCTGATCATTTTTTCTTTTATACGTATCTGCGGGTCAATTCATTGTTATACTTATGAATTTGTTTCTTGTTTTTTTTTTAGTATCAATTATTAGGACATTAATAATCCTTGCAATTCATTTGATCACCTTGAAGGCCAGACAGACATAAAGTTTGCCTTGTCTTATTATTTAAGGAAGTCTTAATAGCACATTGGCTTAAGCACAAAAAAGAATTTAATGGTACTTGTAATTGAATGCCACAGGGAAAAGACTTCATGCTTCAGACATACTGGTTTTGAAAAGGCTGGCAGTCATCTTCTATTTGGTAACTCTCAGCTTCAAGTCCAATAAAAAGAATGCTTTCTTTCCAGTATTTTACCAGAAATGCCCAAAATGACTTTCATTGATCTGGTAGAGACAGGAGTCCCTGATGGAAGTCATCCTAATGACTCTGGCCAGCGTGAACTGCATACAGTCAGTAACACTCTACCAGCCATATGCTTAGTTCATGATTATTTTATTTCCAGAGTTATTTGATAAAAATCAGCAGGAACCATTTGTAATTCTATAGTATGTTATCTCATTTTAGTCATTCAGTGATTCTTCATGTTCTGCTATTTATAAGTATTTACATGTGTATATTTAACCTCTCAAATGTGAATGCCCTTGAACTGGAACTTTCTCTTATAATCTACCTACCTCCACCTCTAAATAGTTTTGGTTTAATCTGTGTGTCACCCATAACTTTGGGATTCTGATTATAAACTTCTTTTGTTCTGCTTGAACCAGAAAAATATTTTTCCTTGCCACTTAAATTCTCAAATTGCTCCTCCTTCTGTCCTCCTTTTGCCTCCCTTCTTTTGAAGTAATGACATGAGAGAAAGGTAAGCTTGGATTTCTTTCAACTGGATATAAATGTTTGCATTATTCTGTTTCAGGAAGGCTGCTTTCAGTTTTTAGTTGTAACATTAGCTTTGTGTTGGGTTGGGGTGGATGGCGAGCTATCGGATGGAAAAGAGGAGCCTGGCACACAGGACTCTGGCTACTGAAGGCCTTAAAGACTAGAACCTGAAGATATCATTTGCTTACTTCGTTGGCATTTATGCAGCACTTTTGTTTCCTTTTTCCGCATGGGGAGATAGAATGTTAATTCTGTGAGGACTCTTAGAGACCTTCCAGTCTAAGCTCCTTTTTGGCAGATTGCCTAGAGGAGGGAAGTGACTTTCTCTGATTATCTAGCCAAGGAAGAGACAGGGCCAAAACCAGGCCTCCTGGTTCCTAGTGCCATGCTTTCAAACCCTGCCACACTTCTGCCATATGAAAATAATCATTTTACTCCTCTGCCAGTTTCCTGTTGAGATTACTAGTGGGGAATAACCAGATAGTCCAAATTGGACTTTGTGTGTTTAGTCAGGTAGTGTCTTGAATTTTGCTAATGTTTTTGTAGTCTCGAAAAATTGTAAATATCTTCCAAGTAGGAGCAAAATGTGGGCAAACTTTGAACTGGATCATAAATTCTTAAGAAATAGTTTGGGTTCTGTCTGTCCTCTTTCCTTCAATCTCATCCTCATTGTTGCATCACGTTTGGAGGTTTGATATCTATGGGTACAATGCCAAAAACTGACAATATATTAAACCATTTAGTATGCAAAGTAATCTTCTAGAAGAGTTTGCTTTCCTTACTTTCCAGATGAAAAAACTGTAGGTTGAGTATATGCTGCAGATAACTAAGCCCAGGTTTATACTCTGAAGTCCAAGTTCTTATTCGCTAATCTCTACAGACCTTCATTAGTTAATCTGTTTGGGCTAGAGAAAGTTAGGCTTAAGAAGACAAGGGATTAAGGAATCAGCAAAATTAGAAATATTGATACAGATGTGTTTCTTTTGAAAAAAATCTTTCAAAATGTAGGTCTTTATCGCATTCTTGAGACAGTACTAATTGGAGAAGCATAGGACATAGGTTTGAAGATTGCAGAGACTGCGTAAATTGTGGAACTGTATAGGATGTCCTAAAATATTATGATTTTGATGGGAAGTGGCAGATTTTCTTCTTAATTATTGATATTAATATAAGTTAGAAATCACTAGACATTGTCATCCTGGTTACTCATTATAGTGAATTGATCAAATTGTCAAGTATGTAGTTGACAGAGTGTCTTCTGCAGGTCTGAATAGAAAAATACCAAGTTAAACATGTATGACTGGTAGTCCAGAATGAAGGGAGAAAAAGGTGTTTTTTTTTGTTTGGCTCATACTCAAAACATAGCTTATTTGGAATATTCCTTACAATATCACGTCTTAAATTTTGTTCTAGACATTAAGTGTAGCATGTCAAATTGAGGTTCTCCTTATTTATCTCCTTAAGAGATGAGAAATTTTGGTTTACAAAATTGATATATAGATTATAATGATTCAGCTTGAGGTCTTTCTTTCCATTTGTCTTCTATTTGGGAGTATTATTTAATTACCCCATGGTTAAGACGTATGTTTTTTCCTGTATATTGATTTAAAATGTTTGAATGTCTCTAACACTTCTTTTTGCCCATTTAAAACACTTTGTATTTAAAAATAATTATAGATTCATATGCAGTTAGATATAATACTGAGGGATCCCTTGTCCCATGCCCATGGTTTCCCCCAGTAATCAGCAGTGACATCTTTTATAACTGTAGAATGACAGGACAACCAGGATGGTG